ACACAGAAACTTAAGAGTCACATGCTCAAGATTACTGTAATAATACCAGACCTGAACGAGAGAGAGAGAGAGACTGTAATTCACTCTAACCTCGAGCAGCTAAACTGTGTTTAAATATGAGATTCAGTAGTTTGACTCAAACACCGTAATTTATGATCTGAGGCAGTCTGTGGAGAAACTCCCTTTAGTCCCATTCAGTGACGTCTGTAATTGGAAGAAACTGTCATTAATAATAAAGTAAATAGTTTCATTTAGAGTCTAGATAAGAGCTCATTCTGTGTGAGAGAGAGTCTGGTGTGTTTGTAAAGGCGAGTGTTTTGACTAATTTGATACTGTGATATCAGTGTCACTCACACACACACACACACTCTCTCTCTCTCTCTCTCTCTCTCTCTCACACACACACACACACACGCACACTTTCTCACATACACGCACAAACACACACTCACTCACACACACTCTCTCTCACACACACACACACACTTTCACACACACACACTTTCACACACACACACACACACACACAGCTTAAACACACAAAGCTCCAGCTGAGTTCAGATTTGAAGGTGAAGGACGATCGGTGGATGTTTGACCCACTTTCATGAACTATTTAATCAGTAAATGAAAGCAGATTTCCTCCGTATGAGCGTCCTGCAGTCAGACACTATATACGCACTGCGGTATATATCGTCATTTCAGTCACACACCAGGGTGTTGAACTTTTAGGAGCCTCTTCTGCTCACCAAAGCTGCATTTATTTGAAATAGAAATCTTTTGTAACATTATAAATGCCTTTTCTGTCACTTTTGATCAATTTGATGATCTTTTGAACGGTGGTGTATATGTATAGTGTATTGTAAAATAAAATGCAGTAATGAACATGACTCTGTTCTCAGACTGACAGCGGTTTGTGTTTGAGAGTCACTGACCTCTAGTAGTTCTGCAGTGACCCCTGATGACCTGGGGTCGTTGTGTTGTGTTTGACTGCAGGAATGATGGTTTGGTTTGAAATCTCAGGAAGCTGGTTTTGTGTGTTGGACTCGGTGTGATTTGGTTTGGGTTCAGTCAGTGCAGGTGTGTTTGTTATCTGTGAACGCTCTGATAAAGTCACTGCTGTTATCTCTGCGTTTATGGAGCTTGAGTGCCATGAGCTTCATAGCGTTTATCAGAGATGCTCATCTGAGATGTGTGTCATTTAATTCATTTAGCGTTTGATGGAGTCACGTACAGAGACGCTGGATCTAATCATGAAGATTCATCTCCGTTTGCATCTTCATGATTACACATCTTATGATTCATTTACATTTCATTATTTAGCAGTTGCTTTTATCCAAAGTGAATACAACAAGCGATTCTTCACAAGTGCTCGTAATATACACACTACCAGTCAAAAGCTTTTTTTAAAGCAGTCTTTTCTGCTCGCCAAGCCTGCATTTATTTGACCCAAAATAGAATTAATATTGTGAAATATTTTTACTATTTAAAATAACTGTTTTCTATGTGAATATGTGTTAAACTGTAATTTATTTCTGTGATGTGCAGCTGTATTTTCAGCATCATTACTCCAGTCTTCAGTGTCACATGATCTTCAGAAATCATGAAAATATGCTGATTATTAGAAACATTTCTGATTATTATCAATGTTGAAAACAGTCGTGCTGCACTAGTATCTGATGGCTTTGGTGAGCGGCTCCACTTGCACCGTCTCGTCCAGCTGATCTTTATGCAGCAGATCGATGAGGAAGTCCAGCGATCGCTCGTGAACGCTCATCTCCGAGTACAGCGTGCCCATGCGCTTGTACACCTCCACGCCGCACTGACTCAGAGCTCTGAGGAGCCAATCACACACGCAAACCACACACATCAACCCTTGCATCTGAAAAGAGCTTTCCTTGAGAAGCATTGCATTTATACACACTGAATTATGTGTGTGCATATGTATATATAACACTGCCATTCAGAAGTTTGGGATCAGTGAGATTTTTAATGGCGTCTCTTCTGCTCATCAAGGCTGTATTTATTTGATCAAAAACACAGTAAAAATGTCTAAATATTATTATAATTTAAAACAGCTGTTTTCTATGTGCATATCTGTTAAACTGTAATGTATTTCTGTGATGCGCAGCTGTATTTTCAGCATCATTACTCCAGTCTTCAGTGTCACATGATCTTCAGAAATCATGAAAATATGCTGATTATTAGAAACATTTCTGATTTATTATCAATGTTGAAAACAGTCGTGCTGCACAATATTTTTGCGGAAACTGTGATGCATTTTATTTTTCAGGATTCACAGATGAATAGAAAGTTCAGAAGAACAGCATTTATCCGAAATTGTTCAAAACATTCTTACTGTTCAAAAACTTTCGACTAGTAGTGTAAGGTTTCAGATATTGTTAACCAGATTCGTTTAGGTTTTTCTATGCTGTTTTTCAGCAGCAGCGTAGGTGCAGATGAGTTACTGTACCTCATTCTGGTTAGTTGTTTTCTGTAAGATGTTATAAAATAAAGCTGTTTGTTGATGTGGTGTTAAACACAGGTTTACACTGATCTGCTCTGCTGCAATCACAACAGTCTGTGCCAGTGAGCGAGTCTCATACACCGTAAGCTCTCTCTCTCTCTCTAATATTCTTGTTCTCGGTCAGAAACATTCATCAGCGCCGTCACGACCTCTTGCTGATTAACTGTGCTGAGAAACGCAGTTTATTTCTAACTAGTCCTGCGGTCTCTCTCTCTCGTCTGCGGTCGTCTGGCCATGTTTCTGTACTCGCTGCTGCGTCAGAAGGATGAAGATGAGGAGTTTGAGGTAGACAGACATCATCTCCGTCTCAGTGTTCATGGCTTTCAGTGTTTCTGCTGAAATATGTGTGTAATCCGCTCGTGTTCGCCGGGGCTGCTGTGAGCTCAGGCTGGGAGTAGAAAGGAACTCTGGGAAATTTAATTAAAAATCCCTGGTGTTCGAGCTCAGTTTTAAAGGAACGGCTTTCTGCCTCACGTCGTTCCAAACCGGTGTGACTTTCTTTCTTTAGTGGAGAACAACTTCAGATATTTTGAGTTCAGTGTTCCCAACATTCTCCAAACTATTCAACAGGAGGAAGTCATGCAGGTTTGAAAAGTCACGAGGGAGAGTAAATGATGAAAGTGTTCATTTCTGGGTGAACTATAGCCTACATGATTTCCAGGGAACCGTGTCTAGATCACTATTGCAGTAACCGGGTTAAATCAGTCCAGTGAGACACAGAAACGTGTGTTAAGGCTGAAGAGGAACTAGTCACTGAGTTTGATGAAGTTTCAGAGCTTCATCACATCTCTGAAGACTCATAAATGATGAACTTTATAATGCTGGTCTCTTTCTGGGTGGCTCTTGAAATCGGGTTTAAGGTAGTAATCTAGTGTTTGTGTTTCTGTAGTTATTATTGTAAACCTCATGATTAGTGTTTAACCAGCAGTCTTGATGTAAATGGTAGTTTAGCTGATACGGCTGAAGGTCAGAGTCACAGTCAGTCTGTTTCATTTCACAACACTCATTCTGTATAAATCGCTATAGAAATAAAGGAGATGTAACAAACTTTATGTGAGTATATGTATGCAGGTGACGTTAGATGTTTGTAATAGTTGACAACTGAAGGTTTGTGTGTTTATGTATATATATTCTGTTTATGTATATATATATATACTGTATTCTATATATAGTACCAGTCAAATGTTTGGACACACGAATGGGAAAGTGTCCAAACTTTTGACTGGTACTGTACTATACCAAAGAATATCGGCCGATATAGTGATATCGGCCTTTTTTCACTCCCTAATATCGGTATCGGTGCAAAAAACCCCATATCGGTCGGGCTCTAGTCATGACAAACCTAATTACTATTAGCTGATGTGAATCCCATGGTTAAAGTGTTTAATATTTATATGGCCGTGTGTACGATCTGATCTGATCTGCATCAAACACTGATGGCTGTGAGCAGCAGGTTGAGTTTCTCACTGGAATGTGGAGCTTATTCGGACCCCTGCGGACCCTTGGGCTGAAGCTCAGCCCGTCCGTCGTTCATTCACACGACACAAGGTGCTCTGTTTGCTCTGAGTGCCTTCTGTGCCTTCTGTGTTTTCACTCAGGTCTGTTCTGATGGCTCTCAGACTGCAGCGAACAACAGCGTTACATGCAGATAAATACATGTGACCAAACATATAACTGTGCATAATTAGGACAGCAAAATAAATAGCAAATTAACTTTTAATGGGAGTAAACATTGTTGGTCAGTTGTCCAATCGATCTCTTCTGCTGTACAGCATTTTATTCTTCAGCCGGTATTCTCTTAGTAGCCTAATTTTGTTGGACCTGTGAAGTTCATGGCTATATAAATGCATTGTATATTGATTTTTAAGTACATTTGTTACCTTTGTTACCAGACTTTTCAATGGCCCATCTCACACCTAACACGAGCAGCGTGCATTTAATTCAGCATCTGTATGATGAAAGACGTTTTCTTGATGACATGTTTAATGTCTGTTTTTTCATCCTTTTGGAAGTTCATCCTATCTGTTTAGTTGTGAACTTTTTAAATTTTTTTTATTTAGATCTTGTAATGTGTAATCCAGTGAAACGACAGGCTCTTGTGATGTGTGCAGGACTTCTCCAATCATTTAGTCTGGTTAAAGTCCTCCTCTTTCTTACAATCCACTACATGCTCATTTGGATCTGCATCCGTTTGAGAGCCACGCCCACATCTCAACATCCAATCAACAACCGATGCATAGAACCAAGTCCCGCCCTGTGTTTTTCGTTTCAATAATTTGTTACGCTCAGATGAATGTCACAATCATGAAGAAAAGATCTGATGCTGCTTCCGTTACGTCGAGACTTTTCAGTTTTTGGTCATCATCGTTATTAGACTTAAATGCAATGTTTTCAGTGTGAAATGTCAGTCGGGGGGAGAGTGACCGTCTGAAATATGCTGCTGCTGCTTTATGTTGATCCTGTTTTTCTTCTGCAGTCCCAGAAGTCCTGGATCGAACACAGTTTCACCAAGAGGGAATGTGTCTATATACTGCCCGTGTCAAAAGACCCGCACAGGTACGTCACGCGCTTCACGTTATTATTAAAGGCTCAGACTTTGTGTGTCATCCTGCAGCGTTTGTGCTGCAAGTCCAAACATCGCCGATGGGACTGAATCAAGCTCGAGTGCAACCGCATGACTTCATTCAATTGAGTTCATTTCACGTGTCGTTATCATGTGCATAGTAGTTCTGGTTTCCCTCTAATATGACTTTTGTTTGTTTTTGCAGATGCCTCCCAGGATGCCAAATCTGTCAGCAGCTCGTGCGGTGAGTGTCACGAAACATGACGTTTGACACAGTCGAGATGTTCAGATGGAGCGTGTGCTGATGTGTGTGTGTGTGTGTGTGTGTAGATGCTGCTGCGGGCGTCTGGTTCGGCAGCACGTGGGCTTCACCGCCACACTGGCAGTGAAATACTCAGACGTGCGCCTGACCGAGGGCGAGCTGTCCGATCTGGAGCAGTGGTCAGTGGAGAAGCACACGGAGGAGAGTGTTCTGATTGGTCGGGGGTTAATGATGTCACTCAGTGCAGTGTTCTGATTGGTCGGGGGTTAATGATGTCACTCAGTGCAGTGTTCTGATTGGTCAGGGTTAATGATGTCCTGGTCTGCTCTCTGCAGTATGTGCGTCTCTCCTATGACTCCCGTCCGGAGGCCATCCTGAGGCTCATGCTGAAGGAATGGCAGATGGAGCTGCCAAAGATCGTCATCAGCGTTCACGGTGGAATCCAAAACTTCGACCTGCATCCGCGGATCAAGCAGGTGGTGGGAAAAGGACTGATCAAAGCTGCTGTCACCACCGGAGCCTGGATCCTGACCGGAGGGGTCAACACAGGTCACACACTCATTACTAGTGCATCATGGGTACAGACGGGCGGCACCAGACACTCTACCTGCTGTACAGACGGCAGACTCAGCGAATATATGTGTGTGTGATTTCACAGCGGCAGTTACAGGATTAACTTGATTATCATAATGACAGTCATTTGAGTTTAAAGATCAGGTTGATACACTTTATTAGTGTTTACACACTCACAGTGCCTCTAAACACACACTCCCTTCTGAACACACACACTTCTGTAGAGGGGTCACGACCCCTTGAGGGTCACGGTCACTGTAAACCGCTGACTGTGAGTGTTTTTCCACTGTGTTTCCAGGTGTGGCCAAACATGTGGGTGACGCTCTGAAGGAACATATGTCCAGATCGGCTCGGAAAATCTGTACGGTGGGAATCGCACCCTGGGGAGTGATCGAAAACAGGAACGACCTCATCGGAAGAGACGTGAGACTCATTTATAACACGCGCGCACACACACACACACACACACACACACATACATATATGCGGCCCATTTATGACCCTTTTTATACGTGACCATCACTGTGAATCTCACTGAACAACTGCATCACGCCAACAAAACAATAGTTTCTTGAGCAGCAAATCAGCATATTAGAATGATTACTGAAGATCATGTGAAACTGAAGACTGGAGTAATGATGCTGAAAATACAGCTGCGCATCACAGAAATACATTACAGTTTAACAGATATTCACACAGAAAACAGCTTTTTTAATTTGTAATGATGTTACTCAGTTATACAATTTTACTCTTTTTACTGTATTTTTGATCAAATAAATGCAGCCTTAGTGAGCAGAAGAGACTTCTTTCACACACATTAAACAATATTAATGACCTTAAACTTCTGAACGGTAGTGTACAAACATCAATGATTTAAATATTACAACAGTAATGCTGGACAGTATGAACAAATTCTGTATCTTAAATCAGAAATAAATTAGTGTTTCAAATCACAAAAAATGTTTCAGAAGCATCTGTATGAAAGCATAAAATCATTGTCTTGTTTGTGTGTGTGTGTGTGCGTGTGTTCAGGTTGTAGCGCCGTACCAAACCCTGCTGAATCCTCTCAGTAAACTCAACGTGCTGAACAACTTCCACTCTCATTTCGTCCTGGTGGATGATGGGACAGTCGGGAAATATGGAGCTGAAGTCAAACTCAGGAGAGAGCTGGAGAAACACATTAACCTGCAGAGAATCCACGCCCGTGAGACACACACATACACACACAAACACACACACACACAGATAAATACACACACACACACACAGATAAACACACACTTTTGAGTCGTAAGCATCTGTTATCCTGCAGTCTTCATTCAGACTTTCACATGTAAGAATTACATTAAAGTGATAAACTAAAAAAAAAAACATAAATGCAAAACTAAGTGATCAGAAAGTCATAAATGTAATTTTTATACATATATTATAAATATATATATGTGAAATATAAATATATATATGAAACCTCCTACAGTACTGTTAAAAGTTTTAGGCACTTGTGTAAAAATTGATTTTCTTTATCAATTAACTTCTATTAACTAAATTAAATCAGAATTTGGTGTGAGCTTCCTTTGAGTTTAAAGCAGCTTTA